GGTGGTGGTGGAGCGAATAGTGCGCAACAAGCGCAAGTCAGTCACAGTTATCAAAGGCCTCGAACACTTTGGTAACCCCATGCTCTCTGCCTGCTCCTCCTCTTCCCCCCTCGCATTTGCGGCTGCCTTAAAAAAAGCAAGTCAGTCACAGTTATCGAAGGCCTCAAACACTTAGGTAAACCCATGCTCTCTGCCTCCTCCTCCTCTTTCCCCCTCGTACTTGCGGCGCCCTAAAAAATGCAAGTCAGTCACAGTTATCAAAGGCCTTGAATACTTTTATATCCCCATACTCTCTGCCTCCTCCTCCTCCTCCTCCTCCTCCTCCTCCTCCTCCTCCTCCTCCTCTTTCCCTCTCACCTTTTGAGGCGCTTCAAAAAGCAATTCAGACAAAACCATATCCCATCTTTTCTTGCTCTGCCTTTTCACCCCCCAATTCCTGAGCGAGAGTTTCACACCTTCAACAGTTAATCGCCCACCCTCTCTCTTCACTCCCTCACCACCACACCACTCCCTCACCACTCCCCACCCCTCCCAACCGCTTCCTCGCCCCCGTGCAGGTGTGAAACTGCCCGAAGCAGCCAAGAAGCTAGGCAAGAAGTTTGCCAGTGGGGCCTCGGTGGTCAAGGTGGGTTGGTTGCGGTGCAATGTCAGTTCTGATTTTTTTTTAACTCTCAAAGAACAGATTCAGCATTGCAATCGCCCTCCTGCGCTTGTCCGGGTGGGTTGGTTGTGGCGCAGGGTCACGTTTGAGTCGACTCGGAGCCGACGTGGTAGGGGTGTCGTCGGTAAGAAAGTTAATGGCAGCTGTGAGAAGGGCACATGCACGCATCATGCGCTCATACAAGCATCATGCGAGCGTGCAAGCATGCAGATACACGTACTCACACACGCACGCCATCCACTCTCTTCCCCTGTCCGAGTCACTTACTCCTACTTTCAACTTCCCCGTCCGTTCCCTCCCTCCCTCCCTCGCTTCCTATCTCAGTCCCTCTTTCCTTCTTTCCCTCCCTCCCCCCCTCCCTCCCTCCGTCCTTCCGTCCGTCCGTCCCTCCCTCCGTCCCTCCCTCCGTCCCTCCGTCCGTCCGTCCGTCCGTCCCTCCGTCCCTCCCTCCGTCCCTCCGTCCGTCCCTCCGTCCGTCCCTCCCTCCCTCCCTCCCTCCCTCCCCCCCTCCCCCCCTCCCTCCCTCCCTCCCTCCCTCCCTTCCTCCCTCCCTCCCTCCCTCCCTCCCTCCCTCCCTCCCTCCCTCCCTCCCTCCCTCCCTCCCTCCCTCCTCCTCCCTCCCTCCCTCCCTCCCTCCCTCCCTCCCTCCCTCCCTCCCTCCCTCCCTCCCTCCCTCCCTCCCCCGCAGGGACCAACGGAAAAGGAGCTGGTGGACGAGCAGGGGGGCATCTTCCTCGATGCATTCCTGCACACATGCACGCATCCCTCTCTCCGCATCATTCTCTCTCCTACTGACCACTGTCCCTCCCTCTTCACCGCAGGGACCAACGGAGAAGGAGCAGGTGGATGTGCAGGGGGGCATTCTCCTCGATACAGTCTACTCCAACTGTCCTTTCCTTCCCTTCCTCTTCGCTTCCCCCTCCCCTCCGTCCCTACCCCTCCCCCCTTCCCCCTCTTGCAGGGACCGACGGAGAAGGAGCAGGTGGATGTGCAGGGGGACATTCTCCTCGATATAGTCGACTTCATTACAGCCACATGGCCCGACGTGAGGCTCCCTTTCTCAACCTATAGCATTCCAGGACTCGTTGTGCTGTGTTTACTTTGTGTCGCTGACTTGTGTTGACTTGTGTTGACTTGTGTTAATGTGTGTCGACTTGTGTTGACGTTTGTTGACTTGTGTTGACGTGTGTTGACTTTTGTTGTCTTGTGTTGACTTGTGTCGACTTGTGTTGACGTGTGTTGACTTATGTTGTCTTGTCCTTCCCCACCCATTCTCTCTCCTGACTAAAATGGTAGATGCGGATCACCTTCATGCTCACCCCTACCTTACACCTGTTGGCCTCCTATTTGGACTGACCGTGCCCGTACTTCGCTTGACATACCTCGCTCTTCTGCTCTCCCTGTCCCCGCCCCTCCTCTCTTCACCCCCTCTCCTCAGGTACCTGAGAAGGCAATTCATTGCCCTGCCCCTCTCTCTCTCTCTCTCCCTCTCTCTTACACCTTCCCTCCGCCTTCTCTCCCCCTCCTTACTTCACCCCCTCTGTTCAGGGTACCTGAGGAGGCAATACTTGTCACAGGGGACGGGAAGAAAGTACATGCATGCCAGCATAGCATCCTCGTTTCCTGCCCCTCTCTCTCTCTCTCTCTCTCTCTCTCTCTCTCTCTCTCTCTCTCTCTCTCTCTCTCTCTCTCTCTCTCTCTCTCTCTCTCTCTCTCTCCCGCTCTTACACCTTCCCTCTCTCTGCCTTATCCCCTCCCCTCCTCCGCCCCCCCTCTGTTCAGGTACCCGAGGAGGCTATTTTCTTCATAGAGGACGGGAAGAAAGTACCTGCATGCTAGCATAGCATGCTCGTTGCCGTGCCGTGCTGACCCTCCTCATCTTGTGCTCTGTCCTACCACATCTGTAACTCCAAATATGGTCCAAGTTCATATAGGATTACCTGTAACCGTAAGACTTGCAATGCAAGGTACCGACTGCGAGATGTACGGTGCCCACCTACCAACTGGTTGGTTGGATTGGATTGGAAAGCAGAGCTGCAGCAAACTAGCTCACTACATACCAGATCCTTCCATTCCACCTCATCCGCCTTGCTACATGTGGGAAGAACTTTTAGGGTACATGAGCAAGCTAATATATCATATACGATAGGTGCTACTAAGGCGGTACGCCTGGTAATGTACCATTTCCTCTCGCCCCACCCACCATTGTTAGAAAATACGGTACGGTAGATGATCGGATCCAACTGCTTGTGTCCAACGCGACTAGACAGCAATCAATGCGCCGCCAATATCAACGGCATTCAACTTTTGCCAGTGCAAGTTTGCAATTGCGTGCAATTGACGGCCATAGGGGAAAGAGTCCGTCGGACGGTTAGGACGCGGCACCTCTAGGGAGGAAGCCATGATCGATCCTGAGTGGGGATCGATCCTGGCTTGTGCAGTAAAATCGCGAAATCACCACCGGGCTGGTATCCGTTTTCGTCATAGCTCGCAAGTGTACAGTAAATTGGTGCCCAAAATGGTGGCACCTCTGGCTCGCACGATCGATGTGCCTGCGCCCACAAATCGATCGTGTAATTGTGGAGATCGGGGCCATTTTGCCCCTGAAATTTTCGATCGTGGCACCTGTGGCTCGGTGAGTCCCGAAGATCGCAATTTTGCTGTGTGGGCACATCGGTGTGCCGATCGATGTGCCCACATCGGTGTGAGGCCCCGACCCTTCCCCGATCTTGGCCAGCTCCCTTGAGGTGTCGCGTCCTTATGTGCCCACGGTCAGAAAAATATAATCCCCATTCGGATGGCATGTCATCCAACTAGGGAAGTCTGAACCCTAAACACAGGTAGCCGCGTGGTAACCCGACGAGCCGACAGCTTTCCTCCAGTAACCGTCAATTGCATGCATTCGCAAACACGCGCTGGCAAAATCTGCATGCGGTTGGGATTGACCGTCAGTCATTTGCTGGGTCAATAGTAAAGAGTTGAAACAGGAATCAACATGCAGAGGCTTGCTCAACAAGGTCCAACAAGAGAACAGAATGCTTCAGCGTCCTGCACAGGGCTGAGGATAGCAGGGCGTTTTACCCTGTTTTCCCTGCATTTAAGGGTGAAATTTTGGACCCACACTGCTAGAATTGGGTTTGGCTGGGCGTCCACCCTCTCATCGTTAGGCAGGGCTGAAAATAAACCCTGCAAATGTTGTTTTACGCTTATGTGCAACACTGCCTTTTCCCAGCTGGTTACGGCAGACACCCTGCCAACTTTTCCTCTTTTGTTGAACTTTACTAATTGCGCGGCTATTCCTCTAAGTAGCGTTTTGTCACAATCCCAACCACAATACCATTGGGATAAAAAGGCTTATTTGTATAGCGGGTAAGTGCGTCCACAACCCCCTAGACCAACGTGCCTGTAACCCTTCCCTAGGATCAATCGGGGATCACCAGTGGACCTCTGACACCCCCCGCACTGGGATGCCCGAGGTGCACACACAGGGATTCGAACCAGAGACCTTCGCTCCGATACCATGTCGAATTCCCAACCACTACACCATTGGGATAAAAGGGCTTATTTGTGTAGCGGGTAAGTGCGCCCATAACCCCCCAGGCCAACTTGCCTGTAACCCTTACCTAGGATCAATCGGGGATAACCAGTGGACCTCTGACACGTTTGTGAGTTCAATTTCCAGAATCGGATGAGTACTTGAAACACCACAGATTCAACTCTAGCACGGTGAGTGGGCGTTTGTGACTGAAATGTGTCCAGTAGCGTTTGTGACTAAAATTCCAGAATCGGCGAAGTACTTTCAACACCAGAGATTCAGCTCCAGCACAGAGAGTGGCGCGTTATCGTAGTGACCGCACCTAGAAGACCCGCCAGCAGGCCTCTCATCTCCCCACCAGCACCATTAAAACCTCAACCATCACGCACTTACGCATAGAGTCGACCACTTAGAATCGAGCCAGGAAGACCCAGTTCGACAAAATTTTATGGCTTCTAGGAATCATCGATATGGCAGGATAGACTGCTAGACCAAAAATTTTTAGCTAGGCAGTGTTTTTGGGTTTCTCACCCTGCCAGATTCGACCTCGAAAAAAAATCACACTGCAATTTCTTGAGTACGACCGCCAAGGCACACTACAGAGTTAGGGTGTAACGGGTCCCAACTCAGATCAGGCAGCGTGCCCCAAAATGAATCGAGACATCTGGTCCTGCAATACATTTCACATCGTAAACCGGTAGTCGCCCGGTAGCGGCCTCGGTAGTGCTACCGGGCTCCGAGCTCCCAGCACGCTGGGCCACACGTGCTACACTGGACCGCCCGGAACCGAGCTCGCCAGCCTGTCCGGGGTGGTAAGCTGGCTGACGCAGCTCCGAGTCTCCGAGCTAGCTCGGGGACCGCGTGACTCAGCACGCTCCCCGAGTGACGTGGCCAGGGACCACCGGGCCAGCCTCACCATTCACCATGTGGAACGCGCGGAGCACCCCAAGGAAGAACACGCGGGGGAACGGAAAAAGGGCACCCCGCGAGCCACACCCCTTGCTGCGATCGCTCTTGTTCTCGCTGCTTTGTGTCTCTGTGTTGTTCTGTTGAAATGTTAAAAACCCCGAAAACCTTAAAAACCTTGAAAACAAAATAACACGCACACACATATCAGCCAGCGAAACACACACGGCAAACAAAAAGATAATGCACCCTGGTATTTTTTTCAACCTCCGATTTTTGCATGTACACAAAGGCTGACGCAGCTGAGAAAACGCGGAAATTTCCGCGGAAATGGGGATAGGGACACAAAACATAGGCACGAAATTCCCCCTAATGTTTTTCCGCAGAAATTCTCGCGGACCAGAGATGCGGGAATTTCTTGCGGAACAGAGACGGGGAATTTCTAGCTGCCGTTGCGCTGTTGTTTTCTCACAGAGGCGCGGAACTTAGGCGCGGTACAGAGGCGCGGAACCCGCTTCGGGAGGCGCTGTACACACGCGCCACCCCACACACGTGTACAGTTTCAACTTTTCCTCTGTTGTGTTTCATTTTTTCGTGCATCGTGGGTGCGTTCTGTGAGAATTGAGACGAGAATGGATGCACTAAGGAATGGAATGTGGTACAAATATGCAACCCTAGAAATGTGTACCCCATATAGGCTACCCCATATAGGCTACCCCACTACCGCTTATCGAACATTATGATTTGACACACCCCCATAGGCAAAGTGGGGGAGAACAAGGGGCCACAAGACCAGTCAATCAGAACAAAGCAAAGCTCAGGGTGGATCACAAAGTCACCATACAATCCGAGCACAAGTTCAAGGCCAGAAGGCCAGTTCACATGCAGGAGCACACATATATATATAAAAGGCTAAACAAGCAAGTGCAGGAGTATATATATGTGACAGTACAAGCAAGGTCAAGAAGTGAGCAAGTGAGGCAAGGCAGGCACAAGACCAAGCTGAGTACAGAAGCGCTGATGATCACAAGGCGCAAGTGCCTTAGTGAAGATATCAGCAGTGTTGGCCTCAGAGGCCATATACGCAAGTCACAACTGACCACGCTGCTGCAGCTCGCGAGCAAGAAAGTAGCGGAGAGCAATGTGCTTCGTTCTGTGCTCCAAGCGCTGCTCCCGACACAAGGCCAGCATGGCCTTGTTGTCTACGTACAGCACTGGAGGAGAACGAGGCACCTCTCCGAGGTCAGTCAGCAGGTAGGTGAGCCAGCGAAGCTCCTGAGAAGCCATGGCTCCTGCGTAGATCTCAGCCTCACAACTGGAGCCGAGAACGGAAGACGAGCGAGTAGCCCGCCACGAAACAGAGCCGGAACCAAGGCTGAAGGTGTAACCTTGTGACGACCGCTGTGTAGCCTGGTCGTCAGCCCAAGAAGCGTCTGCGTGCCAAGTGAGGACCACTGGACTCTGCCCTCCAAGCACAAGCCCCATGCCCGACGTACTGCACAAGTAGCGCAACACCCTCTTCGCTGCAGCCATGTGCTCTGGTCTGTGTCTCCCAGGAGCAACATAGCGTGCAAGAATGCTAACAGGGTATGCAAGGTTAGGTCGTGTGCAGGTCATCAGATACATGAGGCAGCCAACAAGCTCTGGGTACGGGCCACTCAACTCTACGGACTCATATGAAGGCAGAGCTGAGAGCGAGTGGCGAGTAGGCAGAGGAGTGGCTTGAGGCGAGGAGTACGTGAAGCCGAAGCGCTGAAGGACCTGCTGCACCATGTGTGACCGAGTCAGGGTAATGGTGCGGCGTGCTCTGTCCCGGGTGATCTGCAAGCCAAGGTAGCTGCGCAGTTCACCCAGGTCTGTGCATGTGTGTCTCTTCTGCAGCTCCGACTTCACGTGGGCGAGTCGAGGAGTGTCAGCAATGGCAAAGACCAAGTCGTCGACGTACACGAGGATGTAGAACGGCGGCAAAGAGGTGTCGGTGCGCAGAAACAGCGACGGGTCGGCAGTAGAAGGAGCAAACCCAAAGGCCGCAAGCGTAGTCCTTCGTGTGTCGTGCCACTCACGCGGTGCCTGGCGGAGACCGTAGACTGGCCGCCGAAGGCTCCACTGGGTGCCAGGAGGAAAAGTCCCAGTGAAGCCAGGTGGGCGGCGCAGCTAGATCTCCTCGTGCAGGCTACCCTAGAAGAAAGTAGTGCTGAAGTCAAGAGAGTGAAGCTCGTAGTCGCGCTGAGCGGCTATGTGCAGCAGCACCCGAAGAGTGGTCATCTTCGGGGTGGGAGAGAAGGTCTGAAAGTAGTCAACTCCCTGCCGCTGACTGAAGCCACGAGCCACGTAACGCGCCTTGAAGACAGGTGGAGAACCTGGCGGCCGCTTCACCCTGAAGATCCACATGCCACTG